GTAAAAATTACGTTGCATTATTGTTTTTAAAAAAATAGCTGTAGCATTTAAACTTAATAATTTACATGATAGTCCGCAGCTACTATCACATTATAATAATTTTAAATATAAAATTTTCTCCGTGTATAATCAAAAATTATTTTATCTTTCTTAAATATTCAGTAAATGTTTCCAAACGATTATATAATAAACGTTATGTAATACTAAATATTTACAAAACCAAATTTTTGGTTATATTAACCAAATATTTAATTTGTATTATTTCATTAAATTGCATTAACTACAGTATTACCAAATTCTTTCTTTAGTGTACGTTAATGCAGACATTGTTGACTTTGAAATTAATCAAAGAAATGGATTGAATATATATTTTAACACACATAGAAGTTTGTTAAAAATATCAAAATATTTAACAAAGAATTGGGTTACTATTCTTTGATATCTAACAATGTCTTTGTTTCTTAGGTATCCAGAAAACAAAAATTGTGGACATAAAACGTCTTACAAGTTGTCTAAAAGACATCTTATGTTCTGATTTTGGACTTTATATTATTTGGGTAACTATGTAGTTTTGTGAAACTGCATTCAGAATTATTCCAAAACATTTTTCTCGAGTATTTATCCTTCTTCTTTTCAGGTAAAAAAATTTATGTATTAAGTTTGAACGAGACTATAGAGAATCATTCCTTCTCTCTTTTACCCCCGTGCGTTTCTGTTCTTCACAAAATGACGAAATAAAAACTGGTTATTATGACGCTCTGTAATATCAGTGGCTCGCAATAATCCGATACGAGCGAAACCGAATGGAATATATGGATTACGCTGTACCAGGTGTTTACGCAAGATGTCAACATGTGAAAACAGAAGATTACGAATTTGCATTCTGAAATGTTCGACGTCAATGTGCAGGGTAGCGATCGGATTAAAATACAAACACAGAACACGATTCGACGTATGGATTACGCACAGAGATGCGGGGATATTTATGCAAAAGAAATAAAAGTTCTATACGCGAGAGCAGAAATCAACGTTACACATTAACATATTGAAGTAGTCGTATATACAGGATAACGGCGGCATCAGACGAATTATTAATCTCCTACCAAAATTCTCTCTTATCCGCGGATTTCGTGGTATACGAGATCGATATCATATTTAAAATCGTTATTTATTCTCCAGAGATATATTTCTTGCGTTAATAATTCACGTGATTAATAACTCACGCGTATTGGGAAGATCGTAGTAAGTTTATATACAGCAACGACATAAACGAGAGACGATGCAGAAATGACGAAAAACGAGAAACGATCTCTCACATTTCGTCTCGTCTCATTCCGCGTTATTAGTGTGAAGTTCATCAAGCGATGAAGCATCAGAATTATAGAGGGTTGAGGCAGGATGATTTTAACGGTGGTTCTCTCGTTAAAATGCGAATACTCGACTTAACGTAAACCATTTCGTTTAACGATTAAATAAAAACGTTCAACTGGGAACAAGAGAGGCGACCGATCGAGTGAAGAAATCAAGATGGTTTATAGCAAACACATACTTGTGCCGTCGTTAACATCGTGATTTATACGCAACAAGGAGAATCCATGAGTCAGAATTTTTTAAATATTTGATGTTAAACGCTAAACATGTGGATGATCAAATATTTAATTTTTGAAGAAAAAGTGTTAAAAATTGCAATTAGTTAACTTTCACTTTTAATGACAAAATATATTTGTATAATCTAGATCTTTATATAAAATAGTCTAATTATTAATTTAAAAAAGAAGAAAGAATGTGAGTATGCTATCAAATCCAATTTAAAAATAATATGGAATATCATAACTTCAATGTCTTCTCATAACAATCATCGATAAAATATATATAATAATAAAATTATAAGGAATAAAGCATGCAAAGTCATATATCGATTAAAGGTCTAAATACATTTATTCTAGAAATAATGCGAATTCCTTTAGCTCGAGGGCGCAAATAGCAATGAACCAGAATGAATTGGTAGAAGAAAGAAAGAAGCTTTAGAATAAGAAGCTTTTGAGTAAGAGTTCGGACAAGGAATAAAGTGAATAATGGCTCAGGTGCCTATGCAGATAATTCCGTGAAAGTGTAATTTTTAAAGTGAGCGCGTGTCAGTTAATCGAACGTCTGGTTAAAACGTTTAAACGTTATCGTTTACAATACCGAAGTTCAAGCCACATTGCAAACTTTCGGTAAATCGAATCTGTGAGATCAGTGAAATATACAATTTATCTGTTATCCTTATATTATCTTGTTGAGAATTATTATTCTGCCATTCTCAATAAGTGGAAATTTCACAAAACTGTTTAAAAATTGAAATCACTTAACACGTTCTCTGTTATATTGCTCACGAAGAGGATTAAATTGATATGCATATAATGGACTGAACTTTTAAAAGCTTGTCTTCGTTTGTTCTAGCTTTTAGCATGATAGATTGGATTTCATGATAACTATTCAACAAAACTTGCGGCAAAACTGGAAATTAGAGAAATTGTCAGGGGAATTAAAAACGGTCAAGTAAATCAGGATATAGGGAAGTTTTTATAAAATTCTCTGGAAAATTAAAAGTCTTAGCTTTAAAGAAGTTAAAAATGCAAACAGTATCAGTAACATTAATAATAATAATTTACATTGTTACGTTAAATTGATCTTTTAATAAAATATTTATAACGATTTCCAAATCAAGACAAAAATACAAAAAATTTCAAAATATTATTGAAAGTTAGAGAAAATCATGAAATTTTGCCTGGAAATCAAGAAAAAGTTATAGAATTTTAGGATGAAAAATTTGTGACAACCCTGCTATTAGAAAATAAAGACATAGCACTCAATGATCTTACAAAAATCTTGTAAAATTTACATACGATAGCATTCTAGGGTTAAAAATTGAATAAATTATTACTATGTCAACGACGACGATAAGATAGTTAATGGGAAAGTAACTTTTGAAAGAATGAGAAAGTTGAGAGCGAATGGAGCAGCAGGTTCGAACACGTTTGGATGTTTGGAGAGAAAGCAGTGAAGACGAATTACGTACGCGACAAATTACGTCTTCAACGCGGGTAAGATGGCGAAGCGAAATTTATAATTATGGGAAACGAAGGTCGATCGTCGCATGAGAGAAGTCCACGAGCAGAGTCGTTAGAGAAACGCTCACGCAAGAGCTTGAAGCGAGACGATTTCTATTGACAAAAGCGTTCCGCTCCTTAGACAAAGGCGTCCGCATTTAACTACGAACCGACCGCGTTTCCAGGCTGCTTCAGTCTGCTTGCTGCAGTCTCTCTCTCTCTCTCTCTCTCTCTCTCTCTCGCTTTGTGGAATACGATCGCAAGACGACGACGTTCGCGATCCAAACCATTTTCGGAGACGCGAGCTTGCGTCGAAACGTGCAAACAAACTTGGTAACTTTCAGTTCATGGTCGGCGCGAGTTTGCGCGGACCGTTTATGCGTTTCCGCAATGATGGAGATCGCGTCGACGATTTAAAATCCATTAAGAGTTGGCCGGAACTCCCGACAACTTTAGTCCGAAATTGATTTTTCTCTATCGATGAATCGCTGTCGTTACTGAACCAGTTCCTAAAAGGTGAGAGAAATCGGGACACGCGCGCGTGAACGAAAAGACAAACGCAGTGCAATAATGACGTCGCTAGTATAAGTGGGAGAGAGAGAGAGAGAGAGAGAGAGAGAGAGAGAGGAAGGAAGGAAGAGAGAAGTCCAACGAGTAGTATCGCGTAGCTACTTAAAACTTTCGGAGCTTGTCTTGTGTCCTTACTAGTTGGCACCTTGCTTACTTAGCTCGGGTCCGCAACTTACCTTCTCTCGCGCAGCTTCTCCACTGTTTCCCATTCTACCCCTTTTCCGAGTTCACCCCTTTCCATCCCTCGGTACCTTTTCCTCCCCTTCTCCTCTTGGCAGCTTAAGTCGAAGTTTACCTTTGTTCCCGACTGTCAGTTCGATATAGTTTCCGGCTACTATCGCCACTCTGCCACCGGTGCATCTGTGTTACTATGCGCACCGGGACAGCCTCGAGGTTGTAACGATATTAATCCGCTTTAGTGGTGTATTTTGAAAAGGACGATAATCGACGAAATCGTGTCGGTTGCGACGACGAGCGCGACGACAAAATTCGCGAGCGCCGTCGCGACAGAAATTACTTCGATATTTGGTTTGTAAATTTACGCGGTATTCAAATAGGGCGACCCGCGATGATTTATACCTTTTTCCAGAGCGGAAATCAACGTAAATACAGTCACCGCGATGAGGAATGACAGCGGGCGTAAGCACAACGTCGAATACCGCGTTTGAAACAAATCGAAGTTATTACGCGTTGAATAAAATCCGCTCTTTTATAATTATATGAAATGGAAACTCTGTTTGTATATGTGAAATATATCGAAATTATAAATCTCATCTTGATATTAGATTAACGATTCGCTGATTTTTCACAATAATTTTTTTTTTTTTTTTTTTTCATTAAATTGAATTATATACGCAGGAAGATTTTGTCGAAATAAAATTTTAGCTAGATACAAATCTGAAAATAATATTTTTTTTATCATCATCAAAATAATTATGCAGGATGCAAACTGGTTGCTTGGTATTTACAAAATTATTTTGATGGTTTAACAAAATTATTTTTAGATCATAAAATCTAATTAAATTTTTAGATACTTTAGTAAAATATCGTTCTTTCTGTGTAATTTTTGCATATAAATCACCTGTACATATGAAAATCATTTAAAAATATGCTTTTAAAATTTTTTGGTGTTGCCATTCAAAAGCTTCTTTCAAAACACGCTTTCAGTGGATGGATTTGTTTAATAAAAAAACAGAATGCGGTGACATAACGATATATATATCGTAGATTTTATTTCTATTGGTTTCAATTCGTAAGTAATATGAATGGGTAAAATTTATAAAACCTACATACGTTGAATAACATTCAAAACTGGTTTTTTTTTTCGTTCTGTTACAGGAAGTACAGATGTTACCGGTGTATTGTGATGCACGCGCAACATGCCAACGTTCTACAATACAAAGAAAGTAAGTAGTGCTAATTATTAAGATTTTTAAATGGCATTCTGCTCCTTAAAGAATGTTTAGCTTTTTAATTCAGAGTGTCGTAAAAACTTATGCTTTACTGAATCCTGTTATAATCTTTTGTCTTCTTTATGCCTGATAAAATATCATTTTACATTATGCTGTTATTTTTACATTCTTTTTCCTTCCTTTTTTCTCTAGTTTCTTTTTCATCCCTTCCTTTTCTTAAAAGAAACTTAATTATTACAAACGGAACACAGAACAAAAATCGCTATCTATTTTTATGTCCTCTTTTTCTTTCTTAATTATTTTGCCCTCAGTGCAGTTTTTCTTTTCTTATATCTTAATTTATTTATTCGGAATTGTACTTTGACCGGAAAACAAAATAAACATAATATATGTTTCATCATCTCATCGTCGCATTTACAACGAACGGCGATGCAACGTTACGTTTTGCTGTTGTTATTAGCTTATTGCACGAGCGATTCACCGGAACCGAGTCTGCTGACCCAATGCGGCACGTTGACTAGCGACGCCACTCTGGTCTCTCTGTTCCGCTCCAATGCAGCCCCGCTGCCCTGTCCCATTAAGGGTCCCCTGGAGTTCACGTACAGCCAGGGCGAGGGCGAGTGTAATTCGCCGCGGTCACGGGCGGAAGCGTGCACGCAGGATTCACGTCTGCTCCTGCGCTACCAAGCGTGTGCCAACGTTCACTCGTCCGAAAGTGTGGGTCAGTACACTCCCCGTGTCATTATATTGACATGTGACAAACTCATTTTACACAGACGAATCAGATATCGATGGTGCGCGGCTAAATACGTCTATTTAATCTTTAGACATTTTTCTTTTTCTTTTTTTTTTTTTTACTTTTTTTTGTATTAGGGGGGATATTCAAATTTGTGGCTTAAATATCGGGTATCCTGAAGAAATATAATTGTAATACAAATAATTATTAGTTTGTGGAGTTTACAAAGTAATTGGGCAGTGAACGAAGAAAATTTTGGTCATCTATTTTATATACATCCCAGATAGCACACATCATAGAATGTCTTAAAAATGTATAAATGTTTATAGAACATTTATGAACGTTGTATGTTCTAGAAATTTTGTCCTGTATAGGACGTATCTTGTTTTATATTCTTTCTAATTCAATGCTGGCGATTATATAAATTTGATTACGGTGTTTTCCATGGTATCTTTGACACTGTTCAATAAACAGGTACCATACAATAGATACCGCGTATAAAATAATATTATTATGCCAACATATATTGTGCAATATCCATTTACATGGCAATTGTGTTATACCTGTTTACAAACGCTCGTAATTTGTCAAGTGAATACCTAAACAATTATGAATTATACAACGTGTGCGAGTCCAATCACTGCCTAGTGACATTTTGTTATTGGTTCATAATTAATTCGTTGCAATCTACAGTTATAAAGCGCTTGCTGAGTGCTTCAATATACTGATGCAAATTTTGAAGTACGCGGATGTAAAGTTTCAATTCATAGCTTTATTGTCATCGAGTTTTTTCTCATTTACGTTTCTTTTTTTTTTTTTTGCGAAATTTCAACATTTGATTTATTTTAAATTTTCTATCGATTTTTTTTATTGTAAAAAATGATTTATTTAAAAAAACACAATAAAATGTGGCGAGAGGAATAACAGCGGTCTCTAATTGTTGCGAGCGGAGGAATATTGGAGGCTAATTCCAGTTATCGGAAACAAAATCGCCATGTGATCAAATTATACGTGAAAGGAGGATATTTCAGCTCGTCGACTTGTCACGTCGTTAAGGTAGCAGAGCGCATTTCGGCGGGTAAAAAGGAATTATGACGTCGGCGGTGTTTCCGCGGTGACGTTAACATTCGCTTTGACATTAATTAACACGACGCGCAAGGCCTGTAACGGTCAATAAAGCTCGCGGCTTCGGAATGAATGATTAATGGCCTTGTCAATTACCATTTGTTGCTGGGCTTGTCCAAACGATTTTGCGCAATTATCATCGGCCCGTGCCCGATCGTCTATCTCGATACGCGGATAAATGAATACAGGGCACTGCATCGCGCCATATACATCCGTGAATCGCGTATGCGAACGGTATAATGCATTTTCATGTGAACATTCATATATCGTTTACCCCCGTTTATAACTTCTACAGATGGCTTTATCCGGGGACAACAGCGATAAACTTCTATTTACGAGTCTGTTACTAATAGGGTCATTACTAATAGGGGCGTGTAGGCTGGAGAATCACGATCGAATTTTCGTTCGCTTTGATATATCTTTGCAAAGGCCGGTGTATCTCGCCCGTCAACTGATAACTTTAACACGCAAGTTTATGTTTTCTGTAAAGCCCCGTAAAAATATATATACCGTAACGGCCGCGTATACATCAACGGCACCGTGTATTTCGATAAAACGGAGGGGAGGGGAGGGGGAAGCAAAAAAAATAACGGTTATTATTGGATACATGCCAATTTGCAGTTGTAACGTTTTGTTTTTCTAGATGTAGAATTGGAGTGTCTGGCTCATTGGAGGGAGGGCAGCACAAATTACATGGTCGCGCGCTTGCACAGTGATCGTAACGATCGTAAAACAAGCGACGAAGAGAGCTACAGATGTTTTATTTACACAAATCCATCGAACAATACGTGGAACCTCGCGCAGAGCTCGGATGCCGCCTGCAACGGATTGATCAGCGTCACCGAGGCCGCCAGAACGTTCAAGATGACACAAAGTGAGTTCACCTGTACTCTCTCTTTGTACTCTCTTTTTAAAACCTCCGTGAGAATTTGTATATTTTAAAATAGAGTTCTAAGAGAACGTACATTTTTCACGATTCCTGTTAAGCGTACTTTAAATTATTTTAATATCTCTTCTTTACTTTAAAAGTGACACAACTAAAAATACGTGATTCTTTAGTTACCATAAATGAGTTAGGATAAATGAGTTTTTTTAAAGATTATAAGATAAAAGTGACAAAAATGACATATGTTGAATAATTATGTTAAAAATTGCTTTAATAATGTTCTTTAATATTATTTGATTATTCAGTAATTTAATGTCAAGTTGAAAAATAGTTTTTTCACTTTTCTGAAAATTTTTTTTATATTTTTTAAGTTGTGACACTTTTGAAGTAAAAGAGCGATATTTTAACACTGAATTTGTTAAATAAAAAAATAAATAAATAAAAATGAACTAATTTAACTTTATTAAATCATTACAATTTAAAAAGGATGGTTAAAAAAAAATCGTCAAATTCAACAAGGGTAATTTTTCAAGGATTGTAAAATAAAAGTGACAAAAATAACGTTTTATTTGTTAAAAGTATATTTTTTTATATTATTTGATTATTCAATAATTTTCTGTCTAAATTGAAAAATAATTTTCTGGTAAATTATTGTTTAAGTTGTGATATTATATTTTTGAAATAAGAGAGCGATTTAATACCGGATTTGTAAAGATTAAATTAAAAAAAAAATTAGAAAGAGATCATTCGACTTCCTGGAATAACGTTCATCGCGATCGCTCGACACGAGCTGCGTTTCGGTGTTCATCGCGCAACGCGTAAGATCGACCCTAACGATCGAAATTCCGCAAGGGGTTGTTAATCGATGGCAACGAGAGGTAACGGTAGTAGATCGTACGGTAGTGGCGTGTACGGCGTATACCCAGTACGAAAGCCGCCGTACGTGCGGAAACCCCGAACCCCAAGAACGAGAGCACGTAAACTATGAGAGTGCCTGCGGACACCAGATCGGATTCTTGTCCGGCATACTAGCGTTGGCTCCGTCCGGTGGTCAACGCCAGGTACTTCGGGTATTCCACGGTATCGCATAGCTACACGTAGCCTTGCCGGTTTGGGACGCTCTTGTCACAGGATTCATGGTTAACCATATTGAGGGCGACGAACGGACGGCTCCGATTTGATTGTCGCTCGGATAGCGCAATGTATACCGAGACGATTGGTATGGCTGAGTATTTATTGTGAAGAAGGATCTTCCTGCTCTAGCGAGTAAACCCATCAAATAGGTTTTCAGTTTATCCGCTTTTGATTTTCGCTCGATACGCCCGGATTTTTTATTCGAGCGCGATGAATCTCGGATATGTTATTTTATTATTTCCTTATCTCGTTATATTAATATGTCGTTGTTATGCAATAGTAGTCGTCAATTACAATCGATGAACATATTATCGAGAAATGACAAAGGTACCGCTTAATATTTCGAAATCGCGGCCACGACTGCTAGTGGAAATTCAACTCGAGCGTTAAGCAGCTTAAAAATTTTTCAGCGGCGCCCTTACCACGGCGTCGCGGATGTTTCGTTACCCCCTACCCGGTACCACGTTTCCATTTAAACTTTCCAGGAGGCAGATTAGCCCCGGGATCTCGAGCTACGCCGTACTTCCCGTCCCGAAGTGCCCGCCCGTGGATGAAGAGAAGCGTTATTCGCCAACGCGCGATAAATTCTATCTGGCCGATATGTAAATTTCCGTTTCCTCCTTATTCTTTCTTCTACTATTTCCTGTACACGCTTATAATCGGTTCGCAAGAATTGCATGTAAATACGATGGCTTCGAAGTATCGTCATTTAAGAAAATGATCAATATAAAAAGTGAAAGTATAATTAAATGTAAAATTACAAAATTACAAAAAATTACTAAGATTAAACAAGCAAAAACAGATGTAAAGTTAATAAAACATGTGTATAATAAAGTTAAACAAGCGGAACGTTTCGACTAACAAAGTTCTTCTTAGCTGCTACAAAAATTTAAACAATTGAACACAATAGAAATAACAACAAGAAAGTTCTTACTCTCTAAATTTTTTGAAGTGAAATTTTTACTCTAATCCTGGAGTCACTGACCAGTTCACTCTATGTGGAGGAAGTATTCACTTTAATAGAGTGAATTCTTTCACGCTAAGACAAAAAGTGAAAAGTTTCACTCTTATTTTTAAAGTGAAATTGTTAATGCTCTAAACTTCACTTCAACTTAAAGTGTAGAAACCTCATCAAATCACGCCTAATGTCTTCTCAGTTCTTGTACAAGTGCCGTTTATAATTGTCAATTATTAACTGTGTTTAGTTGTTTTGAGTGTATGAACAACGTCAAGTGTTTGACAAACTCGGGAATGAATCTATCAGATGCAAGCCTGTTTATACATTTGTACATAAAATAGAAATCAAAAGGAACAGAGGTTAAGGTATTGTATAAGTACTTTAGGATAATGAAAGAAATTAATTTCTACTGAAAATAAAATGTAATAAATTGAAATTCATGTCTTCGATCTTTAATATGTTTATACTTCTGTACAGATAAAATACTTAGAGATTCCAAGACTTAGTCAAAAAATACCTGCGACTTTATGATTAGGTTACAAAACATCCAGAAAAGTCACTCTTTTTAGAGTTGAAGAATCCAAATGAAGAGTGAACAATTTCACTCTTTTGAAAAGTGAAATTTCGCTCCACTTTGATTGGTATTTTCATGAATATTTGGAGTGATTTTTCATTCCAAAAAAGTGAGATTTCCCTCCAAGAAATTTAGAGAGTATATAAACGTGATGCCATAGAAATACGTAACATACAATTTAAAATGTTATAAATAAATTAAATAAATTACAAATGTCAATTTCTTTCACTTTTTCTTTTACGGTATGAAAATAAGAGTGTACGAAATTGATTAATTAAAATATACCTTAATCTTAATATACTTAATCCGTTTCATCAAAGAAAAAAATATAGTTTTAAAGCACAATCTGCGTTGCTTTGCGAAAATCCGCTGTGCATTAGAATCTTCTCGGGAAATATTGTGATTAGAGCAAGAGGAGCAGAAAGCCAGAACAAGTATGCATAGTAACGGAAGAAATACAGTTATGCGAAAAACGTAGAATATCATCGCGCGGTAGAAATGCATATGCACATATCTATGAAATATCAGAATGATAGTGAATTTTTAAAATAGTCATTTTACATTTTTTATTTAACAGTTTTTTTCAAATTTTGAAATATTTTTGCATATCCGTGCGCCCTTTACATTCGTATCATCGAATTTCACATGATATCTTTTCTCAAACAACTCTCCATTAGGAGTACAGTGAGTAGTTTTTAAGAACGTTTTTATCCTCATGTCCCATATTTCAGAAGCTAATTTTTTTTATTAAACGAGACGATTAACAAATTGACTTGGTACAATGTACAATTATATTTAACGCTCCAAGAACCCTCGTAACGTTTTCTATAGATAGTATTTTCATTTTAGATTGCCATTTTCAAATAACCGCCGCCGAGGCACTGTGGAATTGCAATCTTTTCGAGGTAATGCAATGGCATTACATGCGGTCTGACTGCAAAGGAAGATAAGAGGATGGGCGTAATTTACTTTAAACAAAGCATACGTTTCTTCTTCCATTTCGCCGCGGGCGTGACTCATTTTAATACGCATTTTGTTACAGCATACTTACATCACAAGACTGCAGTAAAATATTAAAAAGAAGATTCATATTTCTTTTTCGCACTTAAATTTCAAGTCGTTATATTTGCGATAATTCATACCTATCGAACACTTTATTAAAAGCGCTTGTGATATAAAACCCACAGTGCATTATTAAGCTTAACAAAAACTAGTTTAATAATAAAACTAATTTTATTCTCTATCCTTTTACGCGAAAATTAATTTGCGTCAAACGAAAATCCGAAGCTCATTGATTAATATAAAATTATTCGTTATAAATTACATAACCTACATGCAAATGATTATAAATTTGAACATTTCTCCGGTAAGGTAGGAGAGAATTTTAATTAGATACAAACCACAGTGTGCAATTCTTTTCACGTATCACGTAAAAAAATATATATACGCATAAGAAAATAATTATATCGCGGGAACGTAGATCGCATAATGAAACAATTACGCGGATCCCGCTTGTTTCTTTATCGCCATCGTTATGCCTCTCTCTTATCGTCCGCGGCGACGTATGCGATAAGCAGCGCAATTTCGGCGACCTATAGCGTTACAGCGCATGCATACACCCGATTGAATTATCGATTAGCTTTTAGTTGCACGCAGGCCGCTGTCGCAGTATGCAGCACGCACGCAGCATACTTTGTCGCTCGTGCATTTTTAACGGTCCATTAATTCACAGTGCACGGTGATTGATGGCCGTGAGCAACCGACCATTGACAGGATAACTGTTCGCCGGCGACGGAGCTGTCGCGCGTTTATAGCAAATTATTTGCTATAACGCGTCAACGTAAATCGGCCGTTGCCAGCACGTTGGCATCTTTATGCATTTATTTAATAATTTTCATATTTTTTAAATGTACATTATTGCGATTCAGCTAACCTTTACTTTTTAATACCTTCATGAGCGCGATATGACTGCAATATTTTATCAGTAATAGCGAGAACAATTTCGAATCATTACCGCGACAATGACAATGCAATGCGTACGTGAATTAACCGTTATAATGCAAAGCGCGTGCGCAGGCATATGTATGTGTGTTAATGAAGCTAATGAGTTGGTTAATATACATCACGTTCACGTATGACGTATGTCGCTCGCGTGTAATTACGCTAGTTACGAATATAACGTTGTTAAAAGTGTACTGTAATTAGCGCGGAATTATTCGCAACGTGGCTTGTCCTGTCGAATACTGGTCGATTTTATTTTTTCTTTTCTTTTCTTTTTTTCGACGAATTTCTTAGACGGAGCGTGCAAGAACCTGATAATGCGCAGGAAACAGTCGGCATGCCGTTGAAAACGAAGTTTACGGCGTAGGAAGAAGAGAGGTCAAAGTTTACTTATGCTGGATTATCTGCTCGAGGACCCCGTGAACTTAAAGAGTTGAGAACGAGCTTACAGTATATATTATGCATTTCGAGTTTGAAATAACTGCGTTAGGAGCGGAGCTACAGCCGTCTCTAAGAATAAAGCCGCAGCTATTTCTTGAAACGTAATTACATTTGAATTTAACAGTCGTCCGAATTTGCAATGTGGAGATGAAAATTACAGGAATTAAACTGTTGACGTTGCAGCGATAATCGACTTTACAATCTTGGGTTTCGGCTTTGAAAACACTAAAATATTTTCGATAATCGCGAATAAAAGAGACAAAACTTTGCAGGATGCTGTTCAATTAATTTTCCTCGCTGTTCAATCATAATTGTCCTGCGCTTTTATGAATTTTAATTTAAACTTAATGTACAAAGAAGCGTGCTCGCGAAGAAGAATGTTAAATACTTGGAAATAATTCTAATTCTCGCAAATAATTCCGATTCAATCTTCCGACAGAAAAGAATATCGCGAATGCACATGTGAAATTTGCGTCGCGGAGAGAACGTCTCGGTGACAAACAAGAGATCCTCTGTCCACGCCCATCTTTTCATGTTACAGAAAAGCCACCGCAGCGTTGCGCGTATCCGTCCTGGGTGGTGGCTGGTAAATCGTGGGTGGCTTTGGATCGAATGGCTTCCCGACTCCTGGCGTCGCCTTACAATCTCACGATCCTCGACCGAAACGAGACTCGCCTTATTTGTCATTCGGTTGTTACCATTGATGATCATCGCTATCACCATTCGACGCCAATCGATAGAGAGAATCAGAAGCAATTCGTCGCAAAGGCAACACGGGATTGGTAAGTCTATTCATAGCATCTGTATAGAGAAAGAGCTAGAAGAGTACCAGATAATGTGGTGATTCAAAACAGTTAGCAGAAACTGAAAAGAAAAATGGTAAAAGGTGTCTCGGACAGATTCTTTCACTCTTTCTTCCGCTCCGCGAATTGTGAGGGACATTATTAAAATGTCTACATTTTGTACGAAAAAGGAAGAAAGGCGTTCGCCTTCATTCGACTAAGAATAATTTTGCAGTTCACGGGAACAGGAATAATTATCAGAGAGGCGCATAATATGATAATCGCAAGCTTTCGTTTAGTGTGCTCATGTAAATAAACGATACAAACACAGGGAGCTTCTATTTTCGTCTGTGCGGTATCACTTTCCCGAATATATATAATACATAGCTATATATGTATGTGTGTGTGTGTGTGTGTGTGTGTGTGTGCACCGAAATGTCAATATAGGTCCACCAGGTACTCTCATTAAAGCATTCGTGCGGGCGAGTTCGCGCGACGTAACGTATCGCTTTTAATCGCTCGTGTACATGTACGAGAGGCCTGGTCCGGTTATTCGCGCCCAACTGCCGCCGAGAGTACGATTCATCGTTAAAAGCTGAGATAAAAGTGCTTATTGGAACGTGTTTGTCGAACATATCCGCGGGAACACGCTAAAGTGTTTACTACTCGCCGAAGCACACTGGAAAGAATCGGTCCAGAAAACGCGAAGGCCGATCTGATGTTTTTCTTCGCCCGTTCCGCAAAACTCAAGCGTGTCCAAACATTCGTTGTTTGTCGAACGAAGATAAATTTCTTACTCCGCTACTAAGTAAAGAGGGGATAATTGCCGAGAGGATCTAAAAAAAGTTTCCTTGATTGCAAAATCATTTCTTTTTTAATTGACTGCACAGAATTATGCAAGCTTAACCTTTAAATGAGTCTGGCCACATCACTCGAGGTATAGTTTGCTTTAAAACCGTATTCTCAGAAAGGAAAATAAAAAGTATTACTCAGATATCCAGTCTTAAAATTCATTATTTTTGCCTTTATTTTATAAGGATATAACTAATGTAAATTTAAACATAGTATACTAGAGAAAAAAAATAATTATACACTGAAAAAAACTAAGTTTTAATAAATATTTGTTTGAATAGTTCTAATAATAAGTAGAATTTGCTGTTAAATATAAACGTATTATTTTATTTAGTACAAAAACCTAACCATGAATTTAATTTATCTATTATTTTTTTATTGAATGAATATTTACTATAAATAAATATTTACTTAGTATTATTTAAAGAAATATGTATTTGTATTTAATAAATTTTTTTCAGTGTAAATTAAAATTTTTTTTTTTTGATATCTGAGCACTCCACCTGTCAACTTAATAATAATAACTTTATCGATGTGTATTAACAATCAAGAAACAATAGAAGAGCAAGACGTAATAAATAAAGTTTCACAGTCAAAAGACGAGGTATCAACAATATATTAATGCTGCCTTTAAGAACCTAAACACTTTGAACAAAAAATAAAGAAAATGAAACAAGAATTACTTGCGTATTTTTACATCTCTTAGCTACTTAAAAGTTAAATAATGATGAATTTTTGACTATTTAAATGTTCATTATCTTTGTTATTATTCTTTAATGTATATATACTTTGAATAATAACTAGGTACTCGAATAAGAAATACATGATTAGTAAAAATAATGCAAATTGACGGCGCGCTCAATAAAATGTGATTACATTCAGCAGACATACTGTCTCCTCTTCATTTATCCCGAAGAAACTCGGTCAAGCGTAACTTCTCAGCGATTAATATCCTCACTTAGGAAGGTTCCGAGAATAATGTCGCGGTACGGGCGCGACAGCTGCTCGAAGAATTCCTTTACTTAGATATCACGATATTAAGATGACGCGGAGCGGAAAGGAAGCAAGAAAAGAAAGAATTACTTTCTTCGCATTAAGCGGCGTCTGATTGAGCGCAAAGCCTTACTACTTACATAGATCGTAAATAGTGTCATTTTAATTCATATTTTATTACTCTTGTATAAATTTACGTCATAAATAATTGCATGAAATCAACGCGATGATTATGCGTTATGCTATTATGTTAATATATTAATATCATATCATATATAACGAGAATCAATTCCCAAATTATATGACGCTGCAATGAAAAGCATTACGTAAAATAATTGCCTTTTAAACATATTCCTAAGCGAAATTTGACATGAAATTTATCACTTGTTACTTTTTTTAATGAATCGTTTTTGAAAACCACGTATTTCTTTTACCGTCACCTTGGAAAGATTTTTTTTTATGCCGTACCGAGGAAACGTCGACAATAAAAAGCGACGTGCCATTTCTCCCGCTTGCCTATCTTACATCTTGTTCTTCGTTCCAGGGGATTTTATTATCCGCGTTACAATTCTTTCAGTTTGATGCGCGGCGAATAATTACTACGGAGGATGAAGGGGAAACATCGGCGTTAAGCGTTTACTACTTTTGCGAGCTAGGAGATTGAGTGCACGACGCGAGAGAGGCGTAAAAAGAAAAAAAAAAACGTAATTCTCTCGTCGACTTATGCCCGCAGCGTCGTTCATCTCGTTTTCATCGTTTTTCGATTCACGTTTCTTTGCTAGCTCGCGCGAACGAATGACTCGGACTGGTTTTGCCTTCGAGAACTTCGGCAAGAGTCGGTAACTTTCATAGTTTCAGTGTCATCCTTCATCGGTTGACCGAACGTACGTTTCCGTTATTCACGGAAACGTACGAAGGAGACAAACGAATTTGACACTAAATTCTCGAAGAAACCAACCGCGCGTGTCTCTTCCATTCACGTTATATGACACAGCTCCGATGAAAAAGGTTGAAATTACGACAGCAAATCGAGGACATCGATTGTCCACGTTTCCTTCTTTTCATTAAAGATCTGACGAGAGATATTCTTGAACTCGGTACTAAGTGATAGAAATTATAGTTAATCACTTCCGCGAACGCTACGTCAAAGCGATATCGCTCTGACGCGCCAGCTGCGTCATTATTTAAATGTCTGAATGTTTGTCGGGCAAAGAAATAAGTGCATGACACGGTTGCTAATATTATGCCAGGGAAATAACCTACAATCTTCCCATCCATCGACCGCTATTTCTGTGCTTTGCACGGAACGATCAGCCGAGTCTACATCGTGTACATTCACGTAAGTGCTGAAGTCTTATAGACGTCGTCATATTATACTATTGCATAATATTAGGACAAATGACGAGCAAGCATAGATCTTATATTAACCGTTCGCCGGCAATATGAATTTTAACTCTTCCGTCAGGAATAGAGGCACAATTTGCTAGCAGAAACAAAGCAAATTTTTTATTGCTCCGGATTCTATAAAAAAAAATTCGGAAAAAATTCTGGTGCACTCGTCAAAGCATTAACGATTCTAACCATCATAGAAATTGGATTGTATTTTATTTATTTTTTACAGATCTAAATTTATAGAAGACAGATTGTATTTTACTTATTTTTTACACATTTAGGCCCGATTGCACCAATGTTACTGTCATTTTAAGTAAAGCTTAAAAATCTTTTTCTTTTTTTAAAAACGGTAGAGAAATAGAAAAAGAGAGAGTTTTGAGCCTCGCTTAAAGTTAAAGTAACGTTGGTGCAATCGGGCCTTACTCTTCAACTGTAGCTGAGAAGTAGCTTTAAGTTCTAAAGCATTCTGTTTGAAGTACAGAATGTGAGTAAACCTTAATTCGCTTTACGGCGATTGATAGAAAAAGATTCAAAGTTTTTTACCTACAATTTAGACTCTTACAGTACCAATCGTAGAGATTGTGCAATCGTCTAAAAGTTTTGCTTCCGGTCCAAATTACCGTTGCTGGCAGTGGAGAATTAAATTTATCTATCAAAATTCACAATTAAAATATAGATAGATACACCTTTAAACATCCTAGTTGCTGGCTTAAATCGACAATAAAATGTGTGGAAATTTTTCACAGAATTTCTCAACAAATAAAAAGGACAAGAATTTTTGCGGAATGTTAATTAAAAATCAGTTATGATCGGTCTAATTCTCTTCTCCGCGATGGATATTAATACTTTTCCTACAATTCATCTTCAACACCGCGAGAAAGAATTTCTGCAATCGTGGTCTCGCGGGGAACACGTATCATTCTCGAGAACGCTACTTGCGGATTCTCGTTTGATGCCCGTCATATCGTGCTTATACGGTGTGCAAGTGTTCGCCGCCGGAATTCTCCTTATTTCGCGGAATCTTCCCCAGACTGATCTTCTCGCGCTTTAATATACCCGCGATTACGCGCCAGCTCGCGACTTTATGAGAAACGCCGTCCGGGATTCACGTTTTCCTGCTACGCGCGACGAGGAGAAGATGAAGAGCCTGGTGGCCGTGTAGACGGGCGAATCGGGAGAGGCAGAGGGGTATTCTTTTATATGTCAGGGAGCAGATTTCGTGAATTCATTTTTGTGGCGGATGCGCGTGGAAGAGACGCGGAGGAAACGGTTCGTCTGCGGGGGAAATGACGCGATCGACGAAGACATCCGGCCCCGAATCGCGGATGAACGTTTATATCTTTTTAACATCTATATTTACGTTACCATTGTTGAAAACCGGTATTTTTCACGTACCTAAGACAAGAGCCGTTATTTCCAACGACTGTTTGAAAAATGTTATTGATAATGTAATCGACTTAACTTATATCATTTTCTGGTTGTTTACTGCAATGAATCGTCGTGGATTAATTTTCATCACTTTTACAAATGACTTTAACATCTTTTAAGTAATCTGTAAGAAAATATCTGTAAGCTTGTATTAAGAAAAATTATATATAAATGTTACAAGTAATTACTTGGTGCTTCTATATATTGAGAAAAACTAATTATATCAATTCTAAAATTATAAATGGATTCAATCAGATAATTCCGATTTGTCCATGTTCAACCAGAATTATAATTAATGCAATCAAACTCTTTTTCTACGTGTAGAGAAATTAAAT